AGAAGAACTCATCTGAAGAAGGAAGAAGAAATTCATAATGAGAAGAATTTGTTCAACCTTTTGTTCAAATCCATCATCTGATGGATTATCATTGCCAGAGAAGGTTCATAATGAGAAGAACCAACCTTTTGTTCAAATCCATCATCTGATGGATTATCATTGCCAGAGAAGGTTCATAATGAGAAGAACTCATCTGAAGAAGGAAGAAGAAATTCATAATGAGAAGAATTTGTTCAACCTTTTGTTTGAATTCATCACTTGATGGATTATCATTGCCAGAGAAGGTTCATAATGAGAAGAACTCATCTGAAGAAGGAAGAAGAAATTCATAATGAGAAGAATTTGTTCAACCTTTTGTTTGAATTCATCACTTGATGGATTATCATTGCCAGAGAAGGTTCATAATGAGAAGAACTCATCTGAAGAAGGAAGAAGAAATTCATAATGAGAAGAATTTGTTCAACCTTTGTTTGAATTCATCACTTGATGGATTATCATTGCCAGAGAAGGTTCATAATGAGAAGAACTCATCTGAAGAAGGAAAAGAAATTCATAATGAGAAGAATTTGTTCAACCTTTGTTTGAATTCATCACTTGATGGATTATCATTGCCAGAGAAGGTTCATAATGAGAAGAACTCATCTGAAGAAGGAAGAAGAAATTCATAATGAGAAGAATTTGTTCAACCTTTTGTTTGAATTCATCACTTGATGGATTATCATTGCCAGAGAAGGTTCATAATGAGAAGAACTCATCTGAATAAAGAAGAAGAAATTCATAATGAGAAGAATTTGTTCAAACCTTTTGCTTGAATTCATCATTTGATGGATCAACATTGCCAGGTAGAGTTCATAATGAGAAGAACTCGTCATCTGAAGAAGGAGGAAGAAGTTCATAATGAGAAGAACTCATCAAGAGCTTATTCAACCTTTTGAATGACTCTATCACAGAAAAAAGGAGGTCATCATCATCCCCAGCAGAAAGTTCATAATGAGAGGAACTCATCTGGAGAGAGAGAAGAATTTATTCAATATCTCCATTATGATCCAAGTTAAGTCAAATGAAAAACTTATTATCTTTTCGTCTTTGCTCTATTCTTGTTAACACAAGAATGAGCAAAGAGGGGCAGCTGAAGATACTCATTTTTCATTTAAATATTATTATTATTATTATTATTATAATTATTATTATTATAATTATAATTACTAATTTTATTATTTATTACTAATATTATTATTAATTATTATTACAAACGGGCCAAATCCGCCCAACCCAAAAGCCCAAATATGTAACCCTAAACCCATTTAGGGTTTGTATCTAAGTCCCAGCCGCCGTAGATCCAAAGGCCCTGATGCAGTCCAGCCGCCCCACGTCGGCGTCTCAGCCAGCTGCCAGTGCCACGCCACGAAGTCGCCGCTTCGCCAGAAACCTCCAGAAGCCAACTGCCCCTCCACATGTCGAGCTCTATGGTGAGTCACCATGTAGCTCGGTGACTCACCAAACTTCATTCCTCTGACCAGTCCGAGAGCCACATCATCGATGGCTATAAAAGCCATCGATCACACCTGCAACAAAAAAAAAGAAGAAAAGGAGGAAGAATCGGAGATAACCAAAAACAGACAGCCACAGAGAGACAGAGAACAAAAATAGAAAACAGAAAAAAAAAAGAAAAAAAAACGAAAGGAAGAGATAATTACAGCAAGCCAATAACCAGAAAGAAGAGGAAAAGGAGCATCTTACCATCGTAGAAGCCTTTAAATCGTCTGGAACCACCGGAATCATTGTAAAACCGAAGGTAAAACCTTCGATTTATTTTAGATCTAGAACGAGCTAGAGCATTTTAGGACAAACGGAGGCCATATTCGGCCTTAGAAGGTCGAGATCTATGCTCTAGAGTAATTTAGGAATTCCGGTCACCGTGAGCGGTGGCCGGCGGTGGCGATCAGCACCGGAAACGAGGCCGGTTTTCTCTTCCGGCGAGAGAAAACGAGAGCTTCTCTCTCTAAAGAGAGAAGCAAAACCAGAGAAGTGAGAAAGATGGCCCTTAGGGCCGGCTTAAATGGGTATAAATACCCTCATCAAAACGACGCCGTTTTGATGAGGGTATCTGTGTAATTTCCATCATGGGTAAACCATTTTCGCACTCACTATAGTTTGTAATCCTTACGATTTAGTCACTGAAAGTAGTTTTTGATTATTTTAATTTGGTCTTCTAATTTTATTTTATTTTAATTTAGTCCTTATCAGAATATATATATATATATATTTAGGTAAATATCAAATTTAGTCCCTCATGGTTTATTAATTATTATTTTAATACCGATTTTATATTTTTTATTATTTATTTTAATTTATTATCCGAATTTTATATAGTTTTATTTTAGTCAATAAATTAATAAAATAAGAAAATAACATGTTTAAACCGTATAATTTTGATTAATTATGAATTAGGTTTTTAATTTTAATTTTACTATAATTTAGTCACTAATTTTAAATGTTTTCATTTATTTTACTGCTTTTAAATATATCATTCTAATTGTATTTTTATTGTTTTAATTGTTTATATATTTAAATATTTTTTTATTATTATATAGTCATAATATATATGATAAATAATAATTTTTTTTTTTAAAATAAATTATTTTAATATTTTTCAATATCGAAGAAAAGGACAGTCTTAATATAACTGGATGTCCTATTCTGATATTTTAAAATTAAATATTATTAAAAATTATTATTTAATTTTATTTAAAATCAATTTTATTAATATCAAAGAAAAGAGCTGTCTTAAGGCACCTAGAAGTTCTTTTCTAATATTTTTAAATAAATAAATAAATATTATTTATATAATTTTGAAATAATAGGATTATAAATTAAATATATTTTTGAATTTTTAATTTTAATACTAGAGACAATTTATAATTAAAAAGTACCAATTTTGGGCGTTGTAGGGGTGCTAATCCTTCCCTAAACGTAACCGACCACGAATCCCTTTTTATTATTAAAAAGAACGAATTTTTGGTTAAAACGCAGATCAGTTTATCTTTTAATTGATGTTTTCTTAAAAACTCTTTTAAAAGATATTTTTTAGGTATTCGACCTACCTGACCCAAAAGGCCGATGGCGACTCCTAAATTATTTCCAAAACCATTTATTCACATCAATTTCACCGCCAAATAAATATTTCGTGCCCGGACCAAAACCGGTTACGACAACTCAACTAATTTTTAAACTTCTTTTGATTCATAGTTTAAACTCCAAATTTCATCATATATTCAATTTAATATGTAACTTCACTAATATTCAAAATATAAAAAGTAAACGAATTTCTAAACGTGTTTGTTCGTGAACATAAACGAACTAAACATATTGTTGTTCGCGTTCGTTCCTTTATTAAATTAACATAAAAATTTTGTTCATACCTTTTTATTTAGTTTCATAAATGAACATAAACGAATATTATACAAACGGCTCATAAATAGTTTATCGAAATTTCTGTTCATTTACACCTCTACCGTCTTTGAAAACCATACTTGAACTGTAAGGGAATAGACTTATTTCTATTATACATTCAATTTTGGCAGGCTTGAAATATTATAAGGAATATATATATAGTGGTAGGCTTGAAATCTTATATATGCATTTCATTTGCCTAGCACACTTCTTTGAAAAACATACTTGAACTGTAAGGGAGTAGACTTATATCTATTATACATTCAATTGTGTCAGACTTGAAATATTATTATAAGGGATAATATATATATATATATATATATATATATAATTTAAAATTAGCTCGTTTCTCACAACGGAGTGCAAATTAGTGGGTAGGAAAATATTGGAGAGGATTCTCCTCAACTAAAGAAACAAAAAAATGTCATCATGTAGAATTTAATATATAAATTTACTATTATAAGATGCCTTTGTCGTCATTTCTGTGGGGAAACTTAATTAATATATCCTTCTGAATTTGTACAGCACTTCATCTTCTTACATTTGCTTGCATCACCTTTTTAATCTTGGCTTTTAACATACTCAAATTGTCTGGGTGTTGACTAAACTTAATATATAATTTGATTATTTAAAGTCATTATAAGAAAAGATAAAATTTATCATAGGTCCATAAATTATTTTAATCATAGGCCAACAAATTATTTTTAAGCATTAACTTTTTAAAAATTATAAAATAATTATTAAAATTATGAAATGATTATAAAATAATCATTCATTTTTAGGGTAAAGTACACAAATGATCCCTCGACTATAAAATATTATTATTGAATCCTCTTGCTACTAAAATTTACAAAATAGTCCCCTAACTACAAGATTTTAAGTCTATCGGCTATTAAAAATTATAAAATGGTCACATGACTATTCATTGTGTTCCAAATCATCATTTTCCATTAAAAAAATTGATAGAAGTTTGAGTTGGACGTTAACTTACTGACTGAAATATGATAGTCGTTCGAGATTCTAGGTTCATATTATATCATATCTCAATCAATAAGTTATCGTCCAACTCAAACGTCTATAATTCTTTTAACGGAAAAGGACGAGTTTAGAACACAGTGAATAGCCAAGTGACCATTTTGTAACTTTTAATAGTCGAGGGACTTAAAAAATAATGTCTCATAGTTAGGGGATCATTGATAACTTTTAATAGTAGGATGACTCAATAAAATAATATCCTATAGTTGGGATCATTTATATACTTTACCTCGATTTTTATAAAATGTTATAAATCAATCATTAAATTTTGTGATCTTTGCAATTATTATAATATTATAACAATCATTTTATACTTTTAATAAAAATAAAAATATTTTTATAACTTTTAAAAATTTAATAATCGAAATAATTTTTAAACATAATTTAATTATATCATTTAAATATAACTATGAAGCCTCAGTCGTTACATCTAGATTGTTCAGCAAATAGGTGAGAGTTGAAAATTTTCCAATAGCAGCTTCAGTCTTCATCTTATTAAATAAGTCCCTTCGAAACGGGAATCGAATCACATCTTCAAACTTTCGATTCTTCAAATAACAATGGAGTTTCGATTTCCCTCCCTTTCCATCCTGCTTTCTTCTTTACTCTTCTTGTATGTGGTAATCAAAACAGTAAAGAAAATGACAAGCACAGATCCAAACAAGAAGCTGCCGCCAGGGCCATGGAAACTGCCCGTTATCGGCAACCTCCACCAGCTCGTGAAATTCGGGGCACAGCCTCACCAAATCCTGAGAGATTTGGCCAATAAACATGGACCCTTAATGCACCTCCAGCTCGGCGAACTCTCCACCGTCGTCGTTTCATCAGCAGAAATGGCCAAAGAGATCATGATAACACATGACGTCGCCTTCGCCGGAAGACCGTACGTGGCCGCTCTGGATCTGGTCACTTACGGTTTCAGGGACATCGCCATGGCACCGTATGGCAATTACTGGAGACAAGCACGGAAAATATGCACCGTCGAGCTTTTAACAGCCAAAAGAGTGCAGTCCTTCGAATCAGTGAGACAAGAGCAGGTTTCGGCTCTGGTGAAATCTATATCTTCAAACCAAGGCTCGCCGATCAATCTGACGAAACAGATTTTTTCCTTGACGTATAGGATCGCATCGAGAGCAGCATTCGGCAACGTATGCAAAGACCATGAAGCATACTCCTCGGTTGTGGAGAAAACAGTAAGGTTGGCTTCTGGGTTCAAGCTTGCAGACATGTACCCGTCTCTTAAAGCGCTTGAACACATTAGCGCTCTGAGACAGAAATCAAAGGCTCTGTTTGATACAAGCGATAGGATACTTCAAGGCATCATTGATGAACACAGATCTAATCTGAAGAGAGGTGAAGGAGAAGCCAAGGAAGACTTGGTCACTGTTCTTTTAAAGATTCAACAACAAGGTGGCCTTGAGTTTCCCTTGACCGACAATGACCTCAAAGGCATCATTTGGGTTAGTAAACAACATCTGATACTACTTTTTAACCATTCCAGACTATTAAAGAAAAATTAAATGAAGTATAAATTGAGGTTGGTTAATGATCTCTCAGGATATCTTCGGCGGAGGGGGCGAGACGTCATCGACTGCCGTAGATTGGGCCATGTCGGAAATGATGAGAAGTCCAAGGGTGCTAAAGAAGGCACAAAATGAGGTCAGACAGGTCTGCCATGGAAAAGGAGATGTAGATGAAGCAAGTCTTAAAGAACTAAAATACCTATCATTAGTCATCAAAGAAACCTTCAGGTTACACCCTCCATTCCCTCTATTACTCCCACGGGAGAGTCGAGTGGATTGTGAAGTCAAAGGCTACCAAGTTCCTTGCAAGACTAAAATCATAATCAACGCATGGGCTATAGCAAGAGATCCCAAGTTCTGGAATGAGCCTGAAACGTTTAATCCCGAAAGGTTCCTGAATAATTCCACTGATTTCAAAGGAACGGATTTGGAGTTTATCCCATTCGGTGCAGGAAGAAGGATGTGTCCGGGTATATCATTTGCGCTTCCTAATGTTGAATTACCTCTGGCAAAATTGCTTTTCCATTTCGATTGGGAGCTCCCCAGTGGAATGAACCATCAAAATCTGGACATGACTGAAATCTTCGGTGTGACCATGAGAAGAAAAGATGATCTAATCCTAATCCCAACCCCGTTTATCTCCTAAATAATAGTGTTCTCCTCTCCATGTATTGTATAAATAAAGATGTTTTCATTTTCAGAATCAGATTCCAAGAAGAACATACGTTTTAGGTTGCGGAAGCTTTTTGTTCTAAGTAGGCTACTTGTCTGTCAAACTATATTTCTTTAACTAAAATTGTTAGCGCATAAGCTAACAAGCCATGGTGGAGTACTTCACCAAACATGAGTTTTATTTTTTCCCCAGTACCCATGCGGGTCAATTATTTAAGGTATGGGGCCAACATAGAAATTGTTTTGGGAATTACGACATTCTTTTATAATTCATAACAAACTCGTCACCTTGAGGTTAGAAGTTTCATTAAATATAATTTTTTTAAATTTTAATAGCTCACGTTGAGTCCATGGCTTGAGAAACTCCGGGTTATTTTGCCAAGAAGAGGTGGAGGTTGGATGAGCTGAGTGAAGAAAATAGGTGACGGCCTCAACGACTTGAAGAAAGAGGAGACAATGATTGTTGATGGTGACCCATGGTGTTGATGCTCCACCAATTAGGGTGCTCCTCGACCATCAACGTTGCACTAGTGAGCTCTGCAATACTCCTTCATTCAAGATGGGATGTAGCTGTCCTAGTTTGATTTTTAAGTGGAAAGGTAAGAGAGAAGAAGAATGGAGACGAAAAGAACTTTTTTCTTCAAAGTTTTTCCTCAAGTGTCAGACAAAAGTTGTGGGAGTCAAATATATGAAAAAACAATGTCAAGCAATCAGTGTAACATGTCACATAAGCATCCCGTTACCCTTTATTGATTATTATCAGCTAGCGATTAATTTGTTACAAATCAATAATATTATGATTAATTTGTTCCTTTTAAAACTTTAGTAGAAAAAAAAGAAATTTACTCAAACATCAGTGATCATTTTTGTAGTTAACCTTTTTATTATGCTAATTTGGGGGTTTAAAATGGGTCAAACATTAATCCACAAAGGTTGAGCCCAACAATCATGTGAAGGCCCTTTGACTAATATTTATCGAATTTCTCCGTCTTAGCTTCAAATTCCATTACCTACAAAAAGAGTTTTTTTCTGGGAAAAAATGGCATGTTCAGGTGTTCTGAAAACCCTAATCAGATCATCATATTTGGGATCTACGACTCGTAATTTCAGCCTCGTTAGCAACCAATTTAGCAATCACACTGCGGAATGGATGCAGGTACTTAATCCCAGATTTTCACCTTTTTTTTGTTTCGTTTTCTGCTGAAATTTTGTGGAATATTGAGGTTCTGTTTTATGGTTTTTTTCTTGAGACTATTATAAAGAATTGAAGATTAGAATAGCTTCGGTTGATATAACGTTATGGTTTTTGACATTCTTGTGGAATCTGAATTCAGCTATTATGTTATCGACTTACTAATATGTTTGATTTCATTGATTTTTGCTAACAAGCTTAAATTTCATCATCGGAAATGAGAAGTGGCTTTCCCCACTTTTTTTAAGGTTTACTAAAATTTAGAAATTATTGTCTTTATCCAGCAATTTCCCTATATTTTCATTGTTTTGGTTCTTAAGTCTTGCTTTGGATTTTTTTGTTGTTGTTGAGATAACCTGCTTTGGAATCTGAATTGTTGAAGATGATGGAAAATTACAGTTATCAACTCTTAAAACAATCTAAGCATATGAAGTGGCCTTCAAGCGTTGATAATGTGTTTATAAACGAAGTAGAATCCTTTGCACAAATGTTTTCTGGTTTTACGCATGTGAGATTTTTTCCCACTGACTTTGTACTTCGATTTTGGATAAGGTTTTCGAGTATTGAATAGCTTTGATTTTACTGTTTGTTTATTTATCCTGATTACATCGTCATGGAAATGGTGTTTTCATAGGTGTTTCTCAACTCTCAACATGATTACTTCATGTCTGGCAATAACTTTCATTAATTTTTCATAACCTATAAGAGCCTAAGAAATATGGTGTATGTAGGTTGAATCAAGTCCAATTGTACATGCCTTACGAGTAACATGATCATTAAATCATTGGCCTTTACCTTCCAAAATACAAGAGGTAAATGAAATGAAGAAATTAAGCTTTTTATTACACCAAATTTGCAGGATACAAGCAAGAAATCTCCAATGGAGTTGATTAATGAAGTCCCTCCAATCAAGGTTGAAGGCCGGATTGTTGCTTGTGAAGGAGGTTAGTCCTTATCCTTATTTTCCTTCACGTTTTGAGATCAAGCTAATTAGTAGATGAATTAAGTACTGGCACAATAAGTAACCTAAAATCATATTTTATGAAAATGAGCAAATGGCCAAGATTTGTTACTGTTGTAGTTTTCAAATAAAGGCCATTTTGATATCCTCAAAAGTTAAATATTTAATTTTAATTCGTCAAAACTTTGCCTGCCAACATGTAAAACTAAAAAAAGGTTTAAATAAGACATTAAGTTGCATGAATCTTTTTGCCGATACACTCAAGTTTTCCTGGTCTTTGTTGGTTTAGACAATAATCCTGCTCTGGGACACCCAATTGAATTCATATGCCTTGACTTGAAAGAGCCAGCTGTATGCAAGTATTGTGGCCTGCGCTACGTTCAGGAGCATCATCACTAGGACTGCTGTTATGTTATTCTCGGGCTGTTGGGATATTTGTTATTTTGCAGCATCTACGGTCACTTTTCTCTGTTTCAGCTGTTTGTAAGAAATTCTTTGAACCCATATTATTAGTGTGATGTTTTATTCTCCTTTTTCACATGATTAGTGTTGTTTTTCTCATTTGAGAAGATATTTCCAAAGTAAATTTGAACCCATATGGTTTACTTTCCATTTGCATAACTATGTAGATATTGTTCACTCTTTATTTATCTTTTAGAGTAACCATGTCTATTACCTGATGTATATTTAGACATAGAAAATGAAGATATAGTTCTTTAAAGATATACGCCGAAGAACTTTTGAAATTTTAAGCATATATGTTGAACACACTCATATTCGGGCGCTTACATTCAACAAAAACTATGTTATATCCAACCCCATTGTGATGATTCATTTGTGAAATTTTAACAACGTTATATGGTACATGAATGAAAACAATAAGAAGTTTCCTACCACCCAGGACGGAACAGCATGTCTTTTCACTTAGTTCATTGGTGTAAACTGATCTTTTTCTGCGTAGATAGTGAGTAAAACTCGGCTTAACTCAAAAGATATTGGTTGTTTTGACTTTATTTGGTGCTAAAAATTTCAACTCGACTCAATTTTACGAGAAATTATTAGATGGTCTCGGCTCACCGTGTCATCCGTTGTCTCAACCAATAATATTTTTCCATTTTATTTTTTTCAAGGTGAATCTTCACCTCTTTCTTACATGTAAATAAGAGGCGGGTAGTTATTTGGAAGTTATTTTAAAATTTGTGATTCTCATTCACTGAGACCACGGATGACGTGATAAGCCGGATCTATCAAATAATTACTCCAACTTTACATGATATATGTATTATCGCATTTAAAAAAATATGAAGAAATATATATATATATCAAATGTGAAAACTACACAATAATATCCTGTCCATTTTGGTATTGAGATTCATCACTCAATGGAAAGTCTTTGAATGCAGCAGACAGAGACCATGAATATAAGAGACATAGCTTTATTGCATGCTCATAACAATCCTCTCATCCCATCCATGTATGTATTTCTATACTTATCAAAGATTCAAAAGAAAATCCAGGCATGAATTGCTTACACATAATTTGCAGGAACAACCGTTCCAGTCCTAGCATGTCAAAGAAAAAGTTGACAATCCTTTCGTGTGTTTTTACTTCCAAACTTCGGATTAATGCCTAAAACGGCCCACCATAGGCCTTCTGTTGTTCATATATTATGAAATCAGAATGTAATTAGATCATCTTTTGGTGCTTGCTGCTTTGAGTCTTGTGCCCCTTCGGATGAACCCCCACCTTTCTTACCGAAAATCATTTCTTCAAGATCATCCATCATGTCATCGTTGCTTCCACCAGGTGTTCCATGTCGAGCACCTGTTGCTTTTCTAATTAAGGCATCCTCATTTGCATGACAAGGCGAATCATCAGGTTCAACAGCCACAGGAATCACTGCAGGTTCCAGCTCACGAGGAACCACTGGTGGCTTCAACTCTTCATACTTTGAGAGCTTTCTGGATCTCATCATTCACATTCAAAGCTTCAAAAAGCAGGGCATCGTTGTCTCCGGCAGTTTCAATGATTCTTTGAACAGTGTGAAGATACTAATTTTTTACCCATATCATTACCCATCATTATTATTATTTATTATTATTATTATTATATTATTTTTTATCATTATTATTTATTTATTATTCATTATTATTATTATTATTATTAAATATATTAAATACATATATAAATATTAAAAAATAATAATTACAGGCCCAATTACAACTGGACCGGCCCAGTTACAAACCAACCAAAACCGGTCCAGATCAAACCAGAAACCCTAAATATTTGGTTTCCAGTTAGGGTTTCCTAACCCTAATTTAACCAGCCGCCTCAGCTCACAACCGTTGGATCTGGCAAGATCCAACGGTCCAGATTGCCCCAGATGGAAACCTAGGGTCTGATACCCTAGGGACACGCGGCCGCCGTTGCTATCTCGCCGCTTCCGCCGCTGCCACGTCCCAACCGAAGACTCCAGAAGATAGAATACCAGCCGTCCACGCCATGGCTACTCGGTGAGTCACCACTGGTAGTCCGGTGACTCACCGAGACCCCATCTTCGGACTGGTCCGACGCTACAACGGTGGTGGCTATAAAAGCCACCACCCGAACCTGAAAAAAAAAGGGAGACAGAAACCAGAGACAGACAGAGAACGAAAAAAAAAAAACAAAAAAGGAAAGAAAAAGAAACAACAGAAACAGAGAGAATACAAAAACTACCAACGATCCCAGTCATGAAATGGTGGCCGAAGGGCAGCCGGTTTGGACCATATATAGTCCTTCCGAACGACGTCGTTTCGGGAAGGACTATGCGCATAATTATGAAATAGTTA